AATATACCAAGCACAGCGCAAATTAGCGTAGTTGCAAATAAAGAAATAAAGAAGCCACAGCACGTTGAAAAGAACTGAAGGCCCAGAAATGCTAGAAGTTTTGATAGAGCTGGTATTGCATGACTCCTAGTTGAGGGTTCCAAGTCGTCTTTTGTTTCCTGAAGCAAATTAAAAATAACATGGCTTGGCAAACGATGATTTTGTGTTCTTCTTGCATTCCAAATAAATTACGTGTGGAAATAAATCTTCCCCCTTCTACCACGCGCTCTCTGTTCTCTACTGTGCCTCCTCTAGCAACAAATTACAGCCATTTCAAGTGCAAAATAGTTTAAGACGTGCTTTTTTGGGGTTTTAAATAATGGCGCAAATGCCAGTAATTTGACGAGCGCAAACGTTAGTAAAATGCGTTGCGTGATTCATTTTAATACTCTCCTCCCATACATTTTGCGTCTGAAAGGGAAACTCCTAGAAATGCATATTCAATAATGTCAGGTGCAAAAATAACTGTCCACACCTTTTCAGCGCTAATTCTTCACTGCGCATCTTTAGTAAAACCTGACAGTACTATTTTAATGCCAAAAGACGGTTTGCGCTGGCGCAAGCTGTTAGTAAAACTGGCCCTTAGTGTTTACATGCAAACATGAACGGTACAGGAGAAACGACTCTAAGAATCCCAACATTTTCAACACACACAAAAGTCTGGACTTACCCATCACCAGCAGAGCACAGACTTTCACTGAGTAGTGCAAGTATGGGAACTGGGACGCACACAGTCAGTCTTAAACTACAGTAATCACACAGGACTCTCTACCCACAATGCACTGGCTAGGACGTACAGTGGAGGCTGGTGGTGGAGGCCGAGCTGCTTCTGTAGGCCTCAGAGCCTCTTCCTCCTCCTCCTCTTCCTCAGGGGTCTGGGGCGGGGCCAGGTCAGGACACTGCCCAATCTCTGCGTTCTCAAACGCCACGGGCTGAGAGAAATCCACGGGCCTGTTTCATTGACAGACACAACACACAGCCGCTCTTGAGGGAACAATGACACAACGTGACTCCAATCAGGTGAATAATGAACACGCTTATGAGCAAGGACAGACTCATTTAAATCAGTCTGGTAGAGGGCAATGGGGTTCGCTCTAGTGGAAAAGACGCACAGCCCACTGGCAGAGATTCATACTCCTCATTAGAGCAAGAAAAACTCTGATTATTAATGTCATACAGCGTTTAGCTTATGACTGCACCTCAAAAGGAAACAAGGAAGGAAGGAAAACAAGACCTTTAATCTACAGCCACGGGAGGCTGGAAAAAATGGGTCAATGTTTACAACAGTCACTGGTGTGTACAATCCAGTCGTGACATATTGCAGTGAATTGTGCTCTGGAGGTCGGCGCATTTATCTTGGCCTGGTAAAGGTGACCTCGAAAAGCTTACTAACATCTCTGCCTTGCTATTATCTGTACAACAGAAAGCTGTGACGTGCCAACATTACTGTTAAGTCTGGTGCTAAGACAGAACAAAAAGACTAGTTTCAAGGTTCTCATCACAACCAAAAAGTGGAATTGAAGCAGTCAGTCAAGTTTACATTATTTAATAAAGTGATTTCCACTTTAATTAAAAAATATACTGTATAACAAACACGATTAATGTAACTTTAAAAAAAAAAAAAAAGCTTTTGTTATAGCTTTTGGAGCAAGGGCGCCGCCATCTTGTGTGACGTCACGGGGTTGGTTCGCTCTGTTGGCCTGTAAAGTAATAAGCATTTTTTAACTTTTTGAACACACGCTTGTTTAAATGGAGGAAGACAAACTTGAAAGGACTGTTGAGGCCATAATAAGCGCAAACGCTCATGCATTTGAGCCGATACGGCGAGGGGACCGAGCAGTACAGCCGTTACGGGTAGGGTTGGGAATCGTTTGGGGTTTTTTCGATACCGGTGCCAAATCGATACTTTTAAAATGGTTCCAGTGCCTAAACGGTGCCTGAACCAGTACTTATTAAAAACAAAAATAATAAATAAATAAAAATTCCCCAAAAGATGGATTGGCCATTAGCACTATAAACACGTCTGTTTCATTCATACTGGACGCCAGAGGGCGCCCTCGCACAGAAAATCCACACATCCAGTCACAGAAGTAGCAGAACTCATGACCCTCCAGGAAATCCCTTATATGGACAAAGGCATGG